CTCAGTGGTAGAGTGCTTGCCTTGCATGCATAAGGCCCTGGGTTCGATTCCTCAGCACCACATAAACAGAAAAAGCCGGAAGTGCCACTGTGGCTTAAGTGGTAGAGCGCTAGTCTTGAGCTGAAGAGCTGAGGGATAGCACCCAGGCCCAGAGGTCAAGCTCCACAACCTCAAAAAAAGAAAAGAAAAGAAAAAACACTTGGAAAATCTGATTTATTACTGCATTCTATATTACCTTCTAAGTATTTAAGAAATCAATGAACCAAATGACAACACAAATGAAATCTACCCCAGGTGTTCTCATTCTATAAATGGTCATTTATTCTTTTTCTTTTATAATACTTCTGGATACAATTTGTAACTTATCAGGTTCAAACCAATAAAGACATTACTAAAGATATACCAAGCTAAAATCTAGAGAAGTATCTACATTCATAAATGTTTTAAGTTTGGTAGCTTTTATTTTATAAAGTATTAGTTTACAGTTAAATGGAAATTTAAATTACATTTAAAGTTTGAATAGCTTCCTGTTTTGAAAGATGAACCACCATACATAGATTTTTTTCTATGAATAACGGTTTTGTTATGAATCCCCAGCCTATAAAGCTTTATAAAGTTCATTTCAGATCTTTCCATCCCACATTTACAAAGTCTAGCTTGACTTTAAAACAGTGCGTTTCCGGCTTAAGCATTCTATGCACTTAAGCTTGTGTAAAAAGACTGGCCCAAAGCCTTAAAATTATTTTTAGTTCCATTGTGTAAAAATGTACTAATGGCAAGTTCACAAGTTTTCCATTCATTCTTTCAATCTCCCCCTTTGCTTTCAGGACTGAAGAAAGGAAAACATGGAAAAATGTTCAATGCACACTATGGTCAGGCAGTGCTTCCTTCGTGCTTTCCTGGCTTCTCTGGCTATGCGGTAACTGGTTTATCTCTAGCTTCTTTGGGGGAGGCAGTACTGGGGTTTGAAGTCAGGGTCTTATGCTTGCTAAGCACAAGTTCTACCACTTGACGCACTCCACCAGCCCCATAAAATCCACCCACTTAAATGTACACTTCAGTGTTTTGCAGCATATTCACAGCTTTCAAACATTAGCACAATCCATTTTGGAGCACTATTATCAGCCTCAAAAGAAATCTCCAAACTCCTTAGCATCACTTTTTTTTTTTTTTTTTGCCAGTCCTGGGGCTAGAACTCAGGGCCTGAAACTGTCCCTGAGCTTCTTTCTTGCTCAAGGCTAGCACTCTACCACTTGCATCACAATGCCACTCTTGGCTTTTTCTGCATATGTGGTCCTGAGGAATGGAGCCCCAGGGCTTCCTGCATGCTAGGCAAGCACTCTACCACTAAGCCACATGCCTAGCCCCTTAGTATTACTTTCAATCTACCCTACTGTCACCCATGCAGCTATCCTCCAGGCCCTAGACAAACCACTAAGTTGATTTGATTTCTTCATTTATGGATCTTCCATTTGGGACGTTTCATACAAACGGGATCACAGACAATAATTAGTATAGACACAATCACAGACAATAATTAACCACCATTGACTGCCTGACTTAAGTCAATACTCTAATCACTTCTACTTACTTTCAGGCTTTGCATCTGCGGCAGCATGGCGCATACTTTTCAGCTGGTTTTGTACTCTTTGCAATCTCTGCACTGCGTGAAATAGCTTTAAAATACAAATTGATTATTTGCTTAGTCTATTAAAAGTTACACTCACATAGGCAAGCAATGGAAAATACAACTTTTATTATATAAAAGGAACTGATGATAAAAAAACAGAAAAATATCACATTAAAACAAAAATGTAACTAGCTGAGTATCTTTTCAAGTAAAATCTCTTTAAAAGCTTTAGAATTTGTATTTAGTTCTTTGAATTCAGTGATTTAAAAATACGTATTTGTTAAATAAAAAATACATCAGGCTTTTCTTCTGCAATAAGATTTTCTCTTTTTTTTTGTTGGTCATGGGGCTTGAACTCTGGGCCTGGGCACTGTCCCTAAACTCTTCAACTCAAGGCAAGCACTCTACCACTTGAGCCACAGTGCTACTTCCGGTTTTCTGGTGATTAATTGGAGATAAGAATCTCATGGCCTTTCCTGCCCATGCTGGCTTTAAACCGAGATCCTCAGATCTCAGCCTCCTAAGAAACTAGGATTATAGATGTGAGCCACAGATGCCCAGCTTGTTATATGGTTTTCTTCATCCTAAGCAATGTTAACATTCCCATCAAGTCTCAGAATCAGAAAGTAGGGTACATAATCATTGAAGGCTCAAGAAAAGCACCGAGCTGGTTTTGACTTGATGCAAGTCAAGCTCCAGTAGAGCTCTACCAATTTCAACTAGACATTTAGATACAGAACTGATTTGAGAGATATTTTCAAATCTATATCTATTCAGATTTTGAAACACATTTTTAATAAATAAAAGTAATAATTTGGGGTCAAATAATATTTTCCTTTAGCATGAAATTTAAAAGCACAAAATGTAAGTAATTTTGAGTCTTTTCATGATGCACTTATTTGGTACCACAGTAAAATGGAAAGGGTACTATGATCAGTGAAACAAGGAGAATGTTCTTACAGCTTCAGAAATCTAATGATGCCCTTTAGAGATTGTCAGTTTCATTAGCAATTGATTTGATGGCTTCCCATTTCAATGAATTTTAGTAATGTGAGAACAACATGGGTCAAGCAGAATCCAAAAGACAGTGTAGAGACACAACAGCATAGGATCCAAAAGGACATATTGTTGTTGCTATTGGTGCCACAGAATGCTTTCCTCTTCCCCCAGCCCCATCTTTCTTTCTTTTTTTTTGCCAGTCCTGGGGCTTAAACTCAGGGCCTGGGCACTGTCCCTGAGGTTCTTTTGCTCAAGGCTAGCACTCCACCACTTGTGACACAGCACCACTTCTGCCTTTTTCTGTTTATGTCGTACTGAGGAATCGAACCCAGGGCTTCAGGCATGCTAGGCGAGCACTCTACCACTAATAGACATTCCCAACCCAACAAAAACTTTTTTTAAAGAATTTTTGTTTGTCTGTTTGTTTGCCTATCCTAGGGCTTGAACTCAGGGCCTAGGTACTGTCCCTGAGCCTCTTTGTGCTCAAGGATAGTGCTCTCCCAATTAAGCCACAATGCCATGTCCAGCCACAGAATGCTCTTAGTTAAGAGTATTCCATCATGCTACCAAAGGGAAGTATGAAATTTTACATTTCAGGCAGGTACCAGTGGCTCATACCTGTAATCCTAGTTACTCAGGAGACTGAGACATGAGGATTGTGGTTCCAAGCTAGCCTGGGCAGAAAAGTCCCAGTGAGACTCTTATTTCCAATTAACCATTCAGGGCTGGGAAGGTGGCTCAGTGGTAGAGTGCTTGCCTTGCAATGCATGAGGCCCTGGGTTCGATTCCCTAGCACCACATAAGCAAAAAAAAAAAAGCTGGAAGTGGCACTGTGGCTCAAGTGGTAGAGTGCTAGCCTTGAGCTAAAGAGCTGAGGGATAGTTCAGGCCCCACAACCGGACCCCCCCCCAAAAAAAAACAACCATTCAAAAACTGGAAGTGGAGATATAGCTCAAAGTGGTACAGTGCTAGACTTGAGCAAAAGAGTGCTGGGACAGTGTCCAGGCAAGCCCCACTACTGAAAAAAAAACAATTCTACATTTCTAATTTGTTTTCTCTTCACATGTGAATTACCAAAAGGAGATACTCCTTTCACCTTGAAAATATAAACCCCATGTGTATACCTGATTCTTTTGTTCCTGTTTCTGTTGTGCAAGAAATTCTTCTCTCTCTTTCTCAACTCGAAGCTGCCTTGCTATTTTAAGCATCTGCTGATGATTCTGAACTGTCTCCACCTACAGTAAAGGAATAAGTAGTACATGTTACTGTCAGATTTGAGGGGAAAAAATTAATGTGTCACGTGACTCAGACATCCACTTATTTCCTTTTGGTAAACAGTACTTCCTTTGAGATGACAGCAAAGGTCTAGACTCCAGGTTCTTAAAGGTTTTGTGTTACTGGCTAGGGAGAGTCACTTTCCTTCCTTCAGCCCATCCTCTGACATATACCCAAGCCTGGCTTAATCTTTAATTGCATTCCTAATTCTTTGTAGTCCTTGGGATTTAGGGCCAAAGTCTACAGAACTAATTCTTGACTTACCCTTTTCTTCAAACGTTCAACCCTCTTAATAAGCTGATCTTTTTCTTCCTCCATTGCATTAATATCCTAAAAAAGTGGCAAAGAAGAGATTAAAAGCACTCTTGGTTTGTAGCATTCTGATAAGGTTTTTATATGATTATGTATCTATCATTTTTTTGCATCTATCATTTTTATCATGCATAACCTGAACAAAGATCTTCCTTGGATAAAGGACATTTTCATTCCCTCTACCCGCCCCTCCCCAAGGTTCTTTATGCAGGGTAATTTTTTTGGCAGTTTGGTGTTCATATAGAAAGGCAACTAAAGCAGGTTATAACACAGCAAAGTAGAGCTGCCAACCAGCACATTTGTGTTCTGATTCCAAATATGGGAACAAGATTTTTCAAAAATCTTCTATAGTGGGAAGTATGCAGGTCTAAATACATGAACAACAGCTGCTGACACTCCATCTGCTCTGTTAAGTGCCAAACTATGTACTCTGCCAATTTTCCATCAAGATTATTTCTAAGGCTATGATATTCTCAAGACATAAATTTGTGTGTGGTTTGTTAATTAACCAATTCCTTCTGCCTAAAGAAAGACATTAAAAATAAGTTACCTTCTTCTAACCAGCTTCATGAACTTTTGTAATGAAGAAAAAAAGTCCTTTCTAATGCTAATACAAGAATACTACAAATCAGTATTGGTAGAATCACAGAAATGTGTACTCTTACTACTGTAGCATTGTATTAAAGAATAACATTAGAAGAAGTGGGGCTGTGGGCTGGGAAGCTGGCTCAGTGGTAGAGTGCTTGCCTTGCATGAGGCCCTGGGTTCGATTCCTCAGCACCACATAAGAAAGAAAAAAGCTGGAAGTGGCGCTGTGGCTCAAGTTATAGAGCGCTAGCCTTGAGCTGAAGAGCTGAGGGACAGCGTCCAGGCCCAGAGTTCAGGCCCCATGACCAACCAAAAAAAAAAGAAGTGGGGCTGTGGCTCAAAGTGGTACTGTACTAGGCTTGAGCAAAAGAGCTCAGGGACAGCAGCACCCAGACCCTGAGTTCAAGCCCCATGTCTGACCAAAAATAAATAAATAAATAATAATATTAGAAGTGCTAAAGCATTGGGGCTGGGAAGGTGGCTCAGTGGTAGAGTGCTTGCTTCACATGCATGAGGCCCTGCGTTCAATGTCTCAGCACCACACATAAACAGAAAAAGCCAAAGTGTCACTATAGCTCAAGTGGTAGAGCGCTAACTAAAGAGCTGAGGGACAGGGTCCAGGCCCAGAATTCAAGCCTCACTACCAACAAAAAAAAGGAAAAGAAGAAGGAGGAGGAGGAAGAGGAAGAAGGGGGAGGGAGGATGGGAAGGGATGGGAAGGGGAAACAAAGGAGGAGGCTACAATGTTTGACAAGAAATGTACTTGTTATCTTGCCCATGTAATTATAACCCCTCTGTACATTATTTTCACAATAAAATAAAAAAGAAGGGGCTGGGAAGTTGGCTCAGTGGTAGAGCGCTTGTCTTGCATGCCTGAGGCCCTGGGTTTGATTCCTCAGCATCACATAAGCAAAAAGAAAAAAAAAGCTGGAAGTGGCGCTGTGGCTCAAGTGGTAGAGTGCTAGCCTTGAGCTGAAGAGCTGAGGGACAGCGCCCAGGCCCACAGTTCAGGCCCCACGACCGGACCCCCCAAAAAAGAAGAAGAAGAAGAAGTACTGAAGCATGCTTTCCTTCTAGTTCAGTAATTCCGTATTTGGGGATTTATTCTAATAAAATATGCGTAAGTCACAGACTTCTATAAGCATTCTCACTGGTGTCAATTATATTTTAAAATTTGAAACATTCTAAATGAGGATTGTTAAATAAACTACAGTAAAGTACAATGGAAGTCATTAAAAATTATGCAATAGAATGTTTAATGATATGAGAAAGTCATGATATGACATTTGAAAAAAGCAAATTATAACATTTATATACAATTCCAAGGAAAGGGTTTAAATATATTTAGTGAAATAAGAAACGTGGTTATCTCTAGAGCACAGGATACATACATATGTATATACAGATATACATATGTATATAAATATACATATATTCACATATAATGTATCCTGACCAAACTCACTCCTTCTTCCCCTCCCCTCACTCTCCCACTTCTTCCACCATGTTCATTCACCCTCTCCATTTTTTCCCACCTCGATAATCCTTCCCTCAACAGTCCGTTTTACTTTGCTGTCATTTATAAGTGTGTGTTTGTGTGTTAATTGGAACATGAGTTTCACAACATTGTCTCAGACATACAGTACATTTTAGTCAGAATAACCATCTTTATTGGGAAAAAACTATTTAATGTTCCCAATTTAATGATAAAAATGGAATTGTTAACTATGGAATTCTACAAATAAAATTCTTGTGAGTTTGAATAGCAAGGGTACTTAAATGTCTGATAAAAATGTAAAAAATATTTCCTGGTGAACATTTGAGTAACATTCATTAAAAGTCTTACAAATTTTAACATAATTTAATAAGCAATTCTGGGCTTGGCACTGATGGCTCATGCCCATAATAAGGAGACAAAGATTGGGAGGATAGAGAATTGAGGTCAGCCTGAACAAGTTCACATAACCCCAACTCAACCAATAAAAAGATGAATGAATATTATACCTAATTATATAAATAGGATGACTGTTTTCTAGGCCAGCTCAGGTAGAGTAAGATCCTATCTCAAAAACAATCACAGTAGCCGAGCGCTGGTGGTTCACACCTGTAATCGTAGCTACTCAGGAGGCTGAGATCTGAGGATCACAGTTCAAAGCCAGCCCGGGCAGGAAAGTCCATGAAACTCTTATCTCCAATAAACCACCATAAGACTGGAAATGGCACTGTAGCTCAAGTGGTAAAGCACTAGCTTTGAGCTGAAGAGCTGAGGGACAGCGCTCAAGCCCAGAGTTCAAGCCCCACGACCGACCAAAAAAAAAAAAAAAAAAATCACAGTAGCCAGGCATATGGCTCACACCTATAAGTCTAAGAAGACGGAGATCTAAAGAAATTGCTTTGAAGCCAGTCTAGGCAAACAAAACAAAGATCCCCTTATTTTCAATTAATCAGCAAAAAGCTGGAACTAGAAGTGTGGCTCAAGTGGCAGACCATCAGCTATGAGCAAAAAAGCTGATGGGCTGGGAAGGTGGCTCATTGGTAGAGTGCTTGTCTGGATGCCTAAGGCCCTGGGTTCGATTCCTCAGCACCACATAAGCAAAAAGAAAAAAGCCGGAAGTAGCACTGTGGCTCAAGTGGTAGAGTGCTAGCCTTGAGCTGAAGAGCTGAGGGACAGCACTCAGGCCCAGAGCTCAGGCCCCACGACCGGACCCAAAAAAAAATGCTGAGCAAGAGGTCAAGGATCTAATTCAAGCTCCAGTACCAGCACAAAAAACAAACAAAACCTACCAAAAGCAACTGAAGGGGGCTGGGAAGGTGGCTCAGTGGTACAGTGCTTGCTTTGCATGCATGAGGCCCTGGGTTCAATTCCACGTAAGCAGAAAAAGCTGGAAGTGACACTGTGGCTCAAGTGGTAGAGTGCTAGCCTTGAGCTGAAGAGCTGAGGGACAGCGCCCAGGCCCAGAGTTCAGGCCGACAAAAAAAACAAAAGCAACTAGAGATATGGCTGCCTAACAAGCATGAATCTGTGAGTTCGAACTCCAGTACCACCAAAAAATGAAATGAAAAAATAAGCAATTCCATTTCTAATTTTTGTTTTGCTAAGGAAATAACCACATATATGTGTAAAATATTTGGATGAAGATAATCACAGAGGGCTGGGAAGTTGGCTCAGTGGTAGAGTGCTTGCCTTGCATACCCGAGGCCCTGGGTTCGATTCCTCAGCACCACATAAGAAAAAAGCCGGAAGTGGCGCTGTGGCTCAGGTGGTAAAGCACTAGCCTTGAGCTGAAGAACTGAGGGACAGCACTCAGGCCCAGAGTTCAGGCCCCACGACCGGACCCAAAAAAAAAAAAAAAAGATAATCACAGAATTATCTAAGATACCAAGAAATAAAAACAAGGCTAAAGTTTAAATTATTAAACTAATTATGAAATACAATTTGTTCATTAAAATCATTTTGTAGGAAAGCAATAATTAAACATATTCACAATTATTTTAAAAGATAAAAATATAGTGATACCAAATACACACAGTAAAATTATTTTTATTGTTCCTTCTGTATTTTATCTTATATATGAGACACATTCATTAGATAAAGATTCTAAAATTTAATCTTATTAAATCCCTGTTGGTAGTTCATATAAAACCTAGAACTTAGCCAGGCGCCGGTGGCTCATGCCTGTAATCCTAGCTACTCAGGGGGCTGAGATCTGAGGACCGTGGTTCAAAGCCAGCCCAGGCAGGAAAATTCATGAGACTCTTATCTCCAATAAACCTCCCACCCCCCTAGAAAACAGGAAGTGATGCTGTGGCTCAAGCAGTAGAGTGCTCGCCTTGAGCTGAAAAGCACAAGAATAGCACCCAAGCCCAGAGTTCAAGCCCCACGACTGACCAAAAAAAAACACACACACACACACAAAAAACCTAGAACTCCCAAAATTACTCTGGTCTCATTAATTTCCTCAAATAAAGAACAGAAGTTCTACCAGAAACCAGTGGCTCATACCTGTAATTCTATCTACCTAGAGTCTAAGAGCTAAAGCCTGAAGTTCAAAGTCAGCCCAGGCAGAAATGTCCATGAGATTCTTATCTCCAAATTAACTATCAGAAAATCAGAAATGACATTGTGGCTCAAAGGGGCAAAGTACTAGCCTTGAGCAAAAGAGCTTGGGGATAGTACCACAGGCCCGGAGTTCAAGCCCCACAATTGACCAAAAAAAAAAAAAAAAACAAGCAATAGAGATTATATAAACAAAAGTTGCTATTTGCTATTTATATGCTAAATCCAGTATTATTCAAATCCAAACAAGTATTTTAATAATTTTCTCATCTTTACCCTTCTTATTTCTGCTGTAGAAAATCCAGATGTCTTGAGTTGCTCACATTCTTTATGCAAAGTTTTAAAAGCTTCCATCAACTCTTCATACTAAAAGAGTAAGTTATAAAACTAATGATTAGGTCAAATATGGTTTTCTTAATCAGATTATCTATTAACTTGTAGTTATCATTTAAATCACTGTAAGAACAGTATTGAAAACATTCCCAAACATTTATATACCACACAAAAAAGTAGTCTGGCTGGGCTCTGATAGCTCATGTCTGTAATCCTAGCTACATAGGAGGCAGAGAGCTGAGGATCACAGTTCAAAGCCAATTCAAGACCAACCTGCGAGCTTCATCTCCAATTAATAAAAAGTGAAATTAGCAAAAAGTTCAAACAATAGAGGGCCAGTTGTGAATGGAAAAAGCTGAGCAAGAGCACAAGGTCCTAAGTTCAAGCCCCTGAAACACAAACACAAACATTTATATACACACATATACACATAGTTTTGCCACTAAATACTCCTCCAGCTTTATCTCTGGTTTGCTTTCCTACTTCATACTCTATACTCTTAGTTATGCTATTCTTTAAATCCCTCAAACATCTCACTTCCTCACCTCCAGCTTACATATCCTATTTCCTTTGAACATTTCCTAGGAATCCCTCATGTCTAGCCTAGGCAACTCTGATCATCCAAGGGTCTCAAAGAGGCCTTCTTTGGCCTTGTGAAGTTATTTCTGACTATTTGTCTGTCTCTCTCATCAGTGGCATTCAGGAAGATTCACACTCACTGTTCACACTTTGGTACTCCTGAGACCTGCCATAGTGAACAAATCATATAAGTGATCAATAAAAAATAGTCAAATAAATAAAAATACATCTTTTTCGTGTATATATGCTGGTCCTGGGGCCTGAACTCAGGGCCTAGACACTGTCCCTGAACTTTTGTGCTCAAGGTTAGCACTCTACCACTTTAAGCCACAGCCTGACTTCTGGCTTTTGGTGGTTAAATGAAGTTAAGAATCTCACTGGCTTCCTTTCTAGACTGGCTTCAAACATGATCCTCAGATCTCAGCCTTCTGAGTAGCTAGGATTACAGCACCTGGCCTAACAGTGGAAGAAGACTGGGCACTGGTGCCTCACGCCTGTAAGCCTAGCTACTCAGGAAGCTGAGATCTAAGGATCACGGTTCAAAGCCAGCCCGGGCAGGAAAGTCTGTGAGACCCTTATCTCCAGTTAACCACCAGAAAACCAGAAATGGTGCTGTTGCTTAAGTGGTAGAGTGCTGGCCTGAGCTGAAGAGCTGAGGGACAGCGTCCAGACAGAGTTCAAGCCCCACGACCTACAAAGGAGGAGGAGGATGACAACGAGAAGGAGGAGAAGAAGAAGGAGGAGGAGGAGGAGGACAACCCTGGAAGAGCCAGATCAACCAGAATCTTTAATTGTCAATACCTTTAAGACCTTCAAGCCAGAACCCAATGTTACTCCAAACTCTGGTAAAAGTACTTATACTGAGACTTCAAGCTCATCAGACCTATCTCTACCCACTTTGAGATTTCAAGTCTGTGTGGCTTCTTAGCCTGCTTTCTTACAAAGGATTTACAAGTTGCAACTGGCCCAGGGTAGTGCTGATTTGTATCATTTATCCCGGTCCAATTGTTTTTATTTTTTAATTTTTTTATTTTATTTTTTGGGTCCGGTCATGGGGCCTGAACTCTGGGCCTGGTCACTGTCCCTCAGCTCTTCAGCTCAAGGCTAGCACTCTACCACTTGAGCCACAGCACCACTTCTGGCTTTTTTCTTTTTGCTTATGTGGTGCTGAGGAATCGAACCCAGGGCCTCTGGCATGCAAGGCATGCGCTCTACCACTGAGCCACCTTCCAAGCCCCCGGTACAATTGTTAAGCCAGCCTGTTTCTCTCTAATTTGGATGACAAAAACTGCATAGTGACCACACTGATCAGCAGTCTCAAGCTCAGGATTCTACCCACAACTATTAAATAAAATCTTCATTTCTTTCATTTTCAATCCACCTACTCCATTTGCTAGCCTTTGTGTACACAAGTCATTGTTTAAGATGTGATCATGGCTGACCACTAAGTAGTACTGTTTTACTTTCTGGTGCTGCCTATTTCTGTAGAAAAGCCATTAAAGGCTTGGAAGGTGGCACAGTGGTAGAGTGCTTGCCTTGCATGCATGAGGCTCTGGGTTCAATTCCTCAGCACCACATAAGCAGAAAAAGCTGAAAGTGGCGCTGTGGCTCAAGTGGTAGAGTGCTAGCCTTGAGCTGAATTGCTGAGGGACAGCACCCAGGCCCAGAGTTCAGGCCCCACAACCGACCAAAAAAAAAAAGCCATTAAAGAGATGAAAGCATATATGAATAATATGCACACCTTTGAAATCCATTGCAAACAGTTTTAAAGTATCTTTTATGTTTATATTGTATACCTGTTTGTTCGTGTCAGCCACTGTTTCATCCTGAAGAAACTCACTTGGCACCTCAAGTTTTATTAGAAACCGAGCTAAATATGCTCTTTTCTTCAGTTCATTAGTCCTCTGAAGAAGCCAGTGGAGTACTGGGTAAATAACAGGTTTACTACCAATCACCAAGCCCTGACGAAAAGTACTCCTAAAAAAGAAAGGCACATCCATCCCAATGCTTATTATTACAGCTAGAAATGATTTCTAACATTTGACAGCTGCCTGTAACTAGGTTTAAAAGATAAACCCAAGGCTTTTTTTTTCTTTCTTTTTTTTGTGGTGGTGATGGTGGTACACTGGGGATTGAACTCAGGACCTATACAGGTTCTCTTATCACTTGAGCCACATCTCCAGCCCCTTTTAGGAATGGGTTATTTTGAGATAGGGTCTTACTATATGCCTGGATCAGCCTGGGCTGTCATCCTCCTACTTATACTTCCCAACTTGCTGGAGATGATCAGTGAGTCACTACCCCTAGCCTCCATGCTTCCCCACAGCTGAGATTAACAGGTGTGTGGCTTTTCATCCAGCCCTTGGTTGAGATGGAATCTCAAGACTTTCTTTTTACCCAGGCTATCCTTGAACCTCAATTTCTGGAAATTCACCTTCTAAGCAGCTAGGACTACAGACTTGAGCCACTACACCTGGCTAAACTTGAGTTTATTCTAAAGTCAGTCCTACATTAATTTAATTTTTTTTAATTTGGCTCTCAATATATCACTAGAGTATCCAGTGATACTCTAGCCATTATACTTCACTTCATTGATGGTACTTAAGTTGTTTTAAACTTAGATGAAAGGCAAATGATAAAATGGTGCTTAGCCAACTTTTTTGGTTATGGGAAAAGACTGACCCACTCAGGCCTTCTGCATGATAAAATAGTATTTGAAGAATTAAGTCTACTGAAATTCATCAATGTCTTCAGACCATCCAGTTAGGGTGGCTAGATATTGATTGTAGTATATGAACATTTGGGCATTAAAAAATGGTTTAGGAAAGCAGTGAGCAGATCCTTACATGTCTGTAGCATTTCCTGGAGGTTTGTACTTAAGGATACCAAGAAGGCTCAACATCCGTTTTGCTGTCTGCTCTGGCATCTCCTCTCTGATATCAACAACTTGCTAATAAATAAATTGAGAAATATGTCATTATTGTATATCTAGCAGAGAGCAATGTTTAAACTTAAAAAAGTATTTGGCTATATTATAAAACATTTCAAGTATAGGGCCCCTGATTCCAAATGAGGGAGCATAAAGATCAGGAGTTACATTTAAAATGCCAATCTTAAAAATAAAGAGTCTCCAGCTGGGCTATCAGCTTCCTCTACATGACCCGTCGCCTGCCCTTCAGTGGGGCCCACGGGGCTGAGAAGCCGGAGCCCGCGCATCCCAAGGCTGAGAGGCCATCATGGCCAAGTACCTGGCCCAGATCATTGTAATGGGTGCGCAGGTGGTGGGCAGAACCTTCGCTTGGGCCCTGCGACAAGAATTTGCAGCTAGCCGGGCAGCAGCTGACGCCCGGGGACATGCCGGGCACCAATCCGCAGCCGCATCCAACCTCTCTGGCCTCAGCCTCCAGGAGGCTCAGCAGATTCTCAACATCTCCAAGCTGAATCCCGAGGAGGTCCAGAAGAACTATGAACACCTATTTAAAGTGAACGATAAATCTGTAGGTGGCTCCTTCTACCTGCAGTCAAAGGTTGTCCGGGCCGAGGAGCGTCTGGATGAGGAGCTCAGAATCCAGGCCCAAGAAGACAGAGAGAAAGGGACGACACCCAAAACGTGACTGCTCAGCCCCTCCACCCCAGCCCACTCCTCATAATTTATAGCTTGGTAATAAATGTCTTTTCCGCAAAAAAAAAAAGTCTTCAGTGTAAAAAAAAGAACAGTGCATAAAAAAATAAGAGCTAACTTGGAATACAACAAAACCTTTTGTAAAAGTATTTTCATTCTAGGACAAAATCTATTTATGCCTAGAAGAGAAATAATTGCTAAGTAAGATACAACTAGATTATTTAAATCTGAAGTTGACAAAAAAAAAAAAACCTTAAAGACTTACTACTACAAGTATGGAAAATAAGGTCCAGAGAGGTTAAGTAACTTGCTCAAGACTCAGAGCTATTTCCAGGCAAACTGGCTATCCTGTCACCTTCACAAAGAAATAAAGACTCTTACCTTTGGGTCAATCTCAGCCAGAACATCATTGAGAACTTGCAATAGTTGCATTGGTTCCAGAGAATCAAATGTGATTAAATTATAATTCTTCTTAAAAGGTTCCTTATTGAGATTGTCCACAATGAATTTGATTTGGTCACTCATAATTATGTCTTATAACTTTTAAAACTAGAAAGTAAAAATAGAAAAAAAATCCTCAAAATTGGTAGCAAAACCTGGTGGGGGGGGGAAGAATTTAGTTCTAGCAAGTAGACATAAGAAGACTATTTTACTGAAAGAAATTGGAGTATAAGAACTTTTTATGAAAGTTACAGCACATACTGTTAATATTTGTCACATTTCTACATTATGCCCCAAATGTGACAGCAATCACCCAAATTAACAAGGACAAAAAAAATAATGCATCCTCCCATGTTAATATCTCTCCTTCCCCTTAAATTAGCATTCACATTTCTTACATAAAAACCTAGAATTAGTTCTCTTGAAAGGCAGAAGCTGAGTGGATAGTACTCCAGCCAGGATATGCCCTCCTCTGTTTCTGCTCTTCCACTGTTGGGTTAAGTGGAGGCCTAGACTTTGCCATGCTGAGTAACTCAGGCCTTCATTTCTTTTAGTCTTCAATGAGGGAAGTCTCCAATTGTCTGTTTGCCCATCTCCCCCATTCCTAATCATTACAAGGCTTCTCACTGCACATAGTATAAAATCTAAACCTCTTGGATTTTTAGACTTTAATGACAGCTCCACTTAACCTTCTCAGATGAAACTGAAACCTAAGTCTAAAGAAAATTACCTGGGTGGGTAAGAAAGATCATTAACTTTTTTTTTTTAATGAGTATCTAATTTCTTAACTGCTGAAACAGCTTTATCAAGGTAAATTGCTTTGATGTTAGCAATTAAACAATGACCTGCTAAAAAAACTAAAAAGAAACTATTACCCCAGTGTTCGCTAATAGTAAAAGCTATGAAATGAACAGGTGTCATTTTGCCCAAGACTTAACTTGGGGTGGTCAGCATTTTGCTCTGAAATGGGTTTCTTAATTGGGTGGGTGGAGCTGAATATCTAGAAAACATCAAAACGTTAAAAAAAAAAAAGGAAAATAGTACAGCCAGGATAGTTTATAAATTGGAATTTCCCTTTATCTAAAAGGAAACCTCTACATACATTAAAAATAACCACATTGGAGGTGCAGGCTCCTGACAAGGGTACTAGCCGTGGTCCACATCACGACCTTCGCATACACTTATAGCTAACTGTAAGTTATTTAGCAATTACCCAAAGGTCTATTCCTTTTTCCTCTTTCAAAACACATGAACCCCCGAATCTGGTCAACCGAGTACAAGGTTTCAAGGAAGGGCACGGAAAGCAGCGGGGCTCCCCGGCCCGG